CTCACAGACTGTAATGAAGTCACCCCTTCTCCTTGTTAGACTCAAAGAGCTCAGTCCATTTAGCTTATTATAAATCATGTCTTTTCTCTGAATAGTCTCCAATTTATCAATATCCTTCCTGAATTGTGGACCCCAGAACTGGAAACAGTATTTCAGTAGCAGTCACAACAGTGACAAATACAGAGGTAAAATAACCCCTCTACTCCTACGTGAGATTACAGTTTATGCATCCAAGGATTGCATTAGCTCTTTTGGCCACAGGGTCACACTGGAGCTTCTGTTCAGCTGATTATCCACCTCTGCCCCCCAAAACTTTTTCAGTCACTGCTTCCCAGGATAGTCACCTTCCTGTAAGTATGGACTACGTTCTTCTCCTAGATATATAAATTTATATTTAGCCATATTAAAATACATATTGTTTGCTTGCACCCAGTTTATCAAGTGATTCAGATTGCTCTGTATCAGTGACCTGTCGTCTTCATTATTTACCACTCCCCAAATGTTTGTGTTATCTGCAAACTTAATCTGGGATGATTTTGTTTTCTTCCAGGTCGTTGATAAAAATGTTAAATAGTGTAGGGCCAAGAACAGATCCCGGTGGGACCCCACTAGAAACACACCCGCTCAATGATGATTCTCAGGTCTCAAAATGTAATTGTAAACAATGTTAAACAGCTTTTAATTCATTTAATGTGTGACATGTTAATTTTGTATCATTCTAGTTTTTTATTCAAAATGGCATGTGGTATCAAGTCAAATGCCTTATAGAAGTCTACGTCTATTATGTCAACACTATTACTTTTAGAAGCCAAACTTGTAACCTCAGAAAAAAAAATCAGCTTAGTTTCACAGGATCTATTTTCCATAAACTGATTGGTATTAATTATATCACCTGCCTTCAATTCTTTATTATTTGAGTCCCATATCAGCTGCTTCATTATCTTGTCCAGGATCAATGTCAGACTGACAGACCTATAATTACCTAAATCATCCCCTTTTAAAATATTGCCACAGTATTAGCTTTTTTTCGGTCTTCTGGAATTCCCCCAATATTCTAAGACTTACTGAAACTCATCTTTAACAGTCTAGAGAGTTCTCCAGCCAGCTCTTTTAAAACTCTTAGATAGAAGTTATGTGGATCTGCTGATTTTTAAAATGTCTAACTTTAGTAGCTGCTGTTTAATAGCCTCATGAGCTACTAGTGGAATGGAAAGAGTATTATCCTATGATAGGACTACATCATCTGTTTTCCCCAAATATGGAACAGAAATATTTATTGAACATGTCTGCCTTTTCTGCATTATTGATAATTTTACCATTTTAGTCTAGTAATGGACCCAATACCATTATTAGGATTCTTTTTGTTCATAATATATTTAATGTCCTTATTGTTCTTAACTCTGATGGCCACAGATTTGTCCCTTTGCTTCCCGTATCAATTTTCTACAAGTCCTAGCTTCTGATTTATATCCATTACTATCAGCTTTCCTTTTCTTCCATTTATTATTTTTATTTTAATTTATTATTGTTGTCTTCACTATCCCTCTAAACCAGGTGTTCTCAAACTGAATGTCGGGACCCCTCAGGGGGTCACGAGGTTATTACATGGGGGGTCACGAGCTGTCAACCTCCACCCCAAACCCCACTTTGCCTGCAGCATTTATAATGGTGTTGAATATAAATTTAACACCATTTTTATATAAGGGGGAGGTTGCACTCAGAGGCTTGCTATGTGGAAGGGGTCACTAGTAAAAAAGTTGGAGCGCCACTGCTCTAAACCAGGTCTGTTTTTTTGTTTTTAAACCAATATGGCCTTCTTCATCAATTGTGGCTTTTGGGGCATCTAGTAAAGTGTTGTGAAACAATTCCCAATTATCATTCACATTTTTCTGTTTAAATTTTCCCTCACAGCTGATATGACTCATAATTGTTTTCAGGTTTGTGAAATTGACCTTTTTAAAGCACTGGGTATATACAGATATAGATATATTTATATGTATGTATGTCACTGCTCTGGATTTTATTCTCTTTGCACATTATAAATGTGATCAAGTTATGATCATTTGTACTTGTTACCATTAATTTTTAGTTCTGCGATCAGTTCCTCTTTATCGGTCAAGACGAAGTCTAATATAGAATTCCCCCATGTTGGATGCAACATTTTTGACTTAGGAAATTTTCATCTATAATATTTAGAAATTTCAAGGATGCTTTCCACTGGCACTATGAGACCTTCAGTATCTGGCACTCAAATTGAAGTCCCCCATGATCAGATGATCAGGCAGCTTTTATTCCTCCACATGTAGGTGTGTAAGGCTCCTTTTGGGGGGGGGGAGGGGTCTTTGCATGTCTTGTAGGTTCCACATATATGCACATGAAACCACCTTTATATGCATCTACATCAACTTTTAAAAATACAATTTAACTTGTCTGTTCTGATGATACTTTTTCAAAATGGTGTGTGTGTACATATGCCTCCATTAAAAGCACTTGCTAACTTTTTTAGTTTTTAAACACTTCTAACCTCCCTTCTTGCTCTTCATAATGTTTTATTAAATAGGCAGTCCTGAGGCAGGCACTTGTCTGCCTCATAAAGACTCCAACCTGTGTGATTATAGAACAAAAAAATAGAACTTGTGGACTAGGGCTCCCACAGATCAACATGTACTCTGGCACAGGAAAATAATTACACTCATTTTAATCAACTAAAAGTATATTTTTAAAAGCACTGGAAACCCTAATCTAAAATTTTCAGTGTACGCTGAAACTAGCACCTTCAATTTCATTTTAAGCTGTGTTTTAGAAGGAAGTCATTGTCAGCTCAAAAATTGGCAGTTTGGGGAAAAAATGCTTTCTAATCTGATTACAGCTGAGTGCATACACTGGAAAAGTTTTCCTTTAAGTTGCTAATATCTCTGTGGAGCAGCTTTGGTCTGAGTCATGGCTACTAGAGAAATACAGCAGCCTGAGCTGGAGGTGATTACAACCAACCATAGAGTTTTTAGGATCCAAGTGCCTTTTGTGTATTTGTACACTTTAAAAGGGCTTATATGGAATTTAAACAATATTTTTCACTTATTGTGGCTTTGTCCATATGAGGATCTCAGGGAGCACAGTAAACTTGTCATGATGTGAATCTTCCTTGTTCAGAGGATCAGTGCAAATCCCTCTGCACCACTGATGTTATTGGCTCGGATTCACAATTGCTGTGGCCTTTCTAAACCAGTTTGGTGTTGCCCACGCAGGGGACCATAAGACCATGCAAGGGACCATACGCCTGCCATGGAAGAGGAGGACAAGGGGTCAGGGACAGGCCAGAGGTGAGAAAAGAAGCTTGTATGCCTTGGTAATTTTGTGCCCTTGCAGTGGTCCACAGGGGTCACTGAAGCAGGAACACAAGTTAGGGCAGCTCTTAAGACTAATGTAACCTAGCTCAGGAGCCACACTGTCTAGATGCCCCTAAAAAAGTGAGGCTCAAGTTACCTACCATTGCTGCCTGTGCTGGTCCATTTGTCCTATTTTCAAATGAGGAAAATGCAGACAGAGGTCAGTAAGGTCACAAAGGAAGCCTGTGTAAGTTACCACGGTTATCAGGCTCCCATAACAGGGCTGAGAATAAGACCCAGATTTCTTGGCTCAAGATTATCCCTTTTACAAATGTATAAATCTAATAATGCATTACTTTGCAAAACAAACCATTCTGTTAATTATGCTTCACCATGACCTTCTGCTTTATCTTAATTTCACAGCTTTTTCAATTCTTTTAAAGCAAAATTCAGGCTGGATAGAGAACATCAGGTAAAGGCATATGCTCCTTCGTAGGGGGAAAAAAAATATTCCAGCTGAACAAAATTTGACCAAAACAGGGTGCAGAAGAGAAACAAGGCCCTATAAAGTCTATGTAAACTGATCAACAGTGAATTTCACCTGCCCTAGTGTTTCCCAGCTCCAATGCTTTGTCTGGTAACTTAAATTCCTCGTAATTTTCTATAGTCTTAACTAATTAAAATAATTTTGTGTCTTCTGCAAATTTTGCTACCTGACTATTGACTCCCTTTTCTAGACTTCTGTTAAATGTATTGAACAGTACTGAGCTGACTACAAAAACGTGGGAGATACTGCTGTTAGTTTTTCCCCCACAGAGGAAAAACTGATCATTTGTTCCTACTTTAATTTTCTATTAGTTTCTGATCCATGACCCTTCCACTCCTACACGTCTATGATTCTATCTAACCTTGCACTATGATAGTTTAGTTTCTGTAACTGTTTATTGTGATAGACTTTCAAAAGGCCTTTCACAAAGTCCATATAAATTATATCAATTATTGTGTTACAGAATTATAGTAAAGAGAGAGATGGCTTTCTGTTGGAAAAGCTGGGGTGGTTTGTCCTTTATTGATTTATTTCCATTTATAACTATTGTTTCAATCACTCTCCCGGGTATAAAAGTAATGTTGGCTGGCCTGTAATGCCTAGGATAATCCTTGGCTTCTTTTTCAACAAAGGTTCACCAAACTGCTACCCCCAACGCTTATGGTATTTTAATGAGACTGTATAGTACGAAACTCAGCCACTTAATCTTAAATTCTGCGCCCCCCACCCCAAAAAAACTGCTGCCTGTATTCACCCAGTTGTTACGCTTAGTCAACACTCCCCCTTGTCCCCGCCTCAGCTTGAGCTCCTGAAAGGGGGAGGTTAGAGACAGATCAGCGCTGAGCAGCAGGACCTGAAGGGAGGGAACTACGTTGCCCGGCTGTGTGCATATTTCTAACTGCCCCCAGTTGTAACCCCCCAAACTGTGCCACAAGCTGCGGGGCATCATTTGCTCCTAACTGTGTCTCGGAGCAAAACCCCCAGGGCGCTAGGAGGGCGAGGAATGCAGCCTGGCTGCCATGCCCAGTGCATTAACCCAACTCAGCCTAGTGAATGCCAGGAAGGCGTCTCCGCGCTCCCCTCCCCGGAGCTGCGCGTGATCAGCGGCAATGGCTCTTCTGCACGCGGGCCCCAAAGGGGTGTGCGGAAGACGGGCCGGGGCCGGGGGAAGACTCTCGCTCCCGGGTGCAGCGGCCTGCAGAGGCGGCGCAGGCGCCCTGCTCCCAGAGGAGTGCACCGCGCTGCCGCCGAGCCGAGAGCTGCGGGGGCTGCAGGGAGAAGGCGGAGACCGGCTGTGGCTGCTGCACTAAGCCCCTTACGCCGCGGGCTTCGGAGCCCTATGCCCCCGCCGGCGAGCCCGGGGTCCCGGCTAGTGGCGGCTCGCGGTAGCTTCCGGGATGCTGCTGCTTCTGCTGCTTGCTGCCTGTTGGGGGCGGGGGGCGCTGTCTGGCAGCCCCCCAGGCCCGGCGGTGCACAGCCTGCGAGGGGGCTGGTGGCTGGGCAACGGGAACGGCTCGGTGGTGCTGAAAGGGGATGTGCCTGGCTGCGTTCACACGGCCTTACTCCGCCAGGGCCTCATCCAGGTACTGATGCAGGCCGGGCTATGGCTCTCTCCTCGCAGGGGTCCGGCCCGGGGCTAAAGCGAACTGCGCCTGGGAACCCCCTGCCGACACTGCCCCCAGAGATGGTGTTTCCGTCCGTCTGGGTGGCTGCCCATCCGGCGGCTGGGATCAGAGCACCGGCCTGGGCGAGGGCAGGAGGCTGGTAGTGGGTCTCCCTCCCCACGTTCCTGCTCTAGGCCAGTGCTGCGGGGTTTAGGGTATGGGCAGTGCTCGGGTGGTTTTGGTGGATGTGCATAAAAGGAAATGAATCAAACGTGGTGATTTGGGGGGCCGTGTTCTGTCAAATGTAAAAACATGAAATAAAAGGTAAGTAGCCTGGGAGCACTTGAAAGGGAGCCCTAAGGCCCTGCCTCTTAGAAACATTTACAAATTTTATTAAAGCTAATGTTTAAAATCAAATTTACACAAGTTAAGAAGGAAGGTACATCTGGGGTCAGGCTTGAGTTATGAGGGATTACAGGTATGGGTTACAAGGTTCACAGGATGCATACATAGTACCTAACCAGCATAGACCCAGATTGGGGTGCAAGAGTTTTTAAAACGTCAGTGGATAAGTGGTCTCGGGTATGCCACCCATAGAATGTATTTAGAGGCCAAGTCAGTATTGGTGTAGTGAATAAGTACATGGGCGGGGTGTGTCCCTTGGTTTGTCAGGGAAGGAAGGAAGTGGGTTATTTCCCTGACTGGCGTTCTCGCTTACTCAACCTGGTACTGATGGTGTCCTGTGATGTATTCCGTGTAGATGTCTCTGGACCACCTGATGGTGTTGGACACCATGAGCTGTCTCATGAGCCGGGCATAGTGTTGACCGACTCCGCACGCTCTCAGCACCAGCTCATTGTGGGAGTCCCACGCACCCAAGGCTTTACAGTTGTCTCAAACACTGCAAGTTTCACTAGCATGACTGCAGTATCTGGGGCTATTCCTGTAGCAATATTTTATATTTTTTTTCACATCTTTAATGTCAAAGGAGGCCAAATCTTGCTATGTACAGCATCACTGAAATGCAACCATCTCTGAGTAGTCCAAATTGGATGTTGGTTGCACAGCATCCTGCACAGTCTGGGGGAGTGCAAAAAATGTGGCCAACAACACCAGCACAAACGTCTTGTCTTGTGAAAAGCATCCCACTCTTACAGTGCCTTTGATGTCCAGTTGGTACAGACAGAACGGAAGTGATTAAAGCTCCACACAGTGGAGTGCACATTTATTCAATTTGTCTACCTCAGAAGGATGAAATCCTGAATTGACCCTGTTGAAATTTGAGTTGTGTTTGCAGGGAGTTTGGGGATTTCCAGGCTGATGCTTAGTCCACTAAATGACCCCCTCAAGGCCCTGTAGGCCACTGCAGAATTTTGATAGCATGCATAGATTTGTAGTATTGTAGAAGAGGCAAGTCCTGGCTTTCATGTTGTACCATGAAATACTTCACTACTTTTAGAGAATTGTTCATATCAAAAGATTTTCAGAGTTTTTGCAACTTGTATTTTTGTATCCTTTCCTGCTTCTTTTGGCTTTCAGGTTTGGGAGAACTCCTTTCCTGTAACAATGAGTTCCAATTCTTGTTCTATAAATCAATGGCAAAACTCCCTTTTCATCCATTCAGAGCAGAAGCAGACCCAGTGTCACTACCAATCCACGTGTTTTTTGTTTGGGGTTAATCTGGCCTCTTTCACCCAAATGGGGGTTTATAATTGATAGACTCTTATCTCTGCTGGAGCGGCCAGATGTTGCAATAATGCTGTGAATAAGTCCTTTAAGGGCAATGGAAGCTATGACCAGTGGGTTGAGTCACACATGTTGTAATGGAAGACTCAAACGTTTAACTATCCTTTTTGAAATAAGGAAGTGTGGTCACTAATTTAACTGAATTGCTGTGAAGGGCTAATAATTTCACCTTTCAATGGGAGCCGGGCATTTGGGGTTTAGGCTAAGCTCATGCAGAAGGGCAGAACCCCTCTGCCTTGTTGGAGCCCTGTTGACTTCAGTCAGCCTTCAGGGTCAGTTAGCCTACAGCCGTAGGGCTTGTCTACTCACAGATTTGCATGGGTTTAGTTGAACTTGTGAAAAACCTTATGTGGGCATTTAAAATAGCTTATTTTGGTTGGGGGAGTGGGGAAACCTTTGAGCCATCTGGCAGAAGTGGAACTCAGCTGCCTCAGCTGCTTGTGATGTGATCTATTCATTGCGGCTAGCAATGTTAAAAAAAAAAAAAAAGTTACAAGGGACAGTTCTCCAAATATGTGTAAGGCCTGGGTGACACCGGGTGAGGGGGAAAAAATTGGGTGATTTTTCAGAGGTACTGACCACCTGCTGCTCACTTCAGTGACACTCATTGGTGCTTAGTACCTCTAAAATCAGGGCACCTTTTTTTAAAGTGTCCAAACATGGACTTAAGAGCTTAACTTTAAGCACCTAAATTTGAAAATACTTGGCCTTGGATCATTTTTTTCTCTCTTTTATTCCTCCCTCCCCCAGAGTTGATGTCCTCTGTCATCATACTTAAAGAGACTAGTCAGCCAAATATCTTCTAGGTCTTATTCAACCAAGCAAAATGTATCCGCATGTAACTTATGCATGAAAGCTTTATGCTAGCAATGGTGATCCTCTATTATGTGTACTCCAAATATTATATGATGCCATTTCTGCTGGCAGGTGACTCCTACAGAATTCTTGGCACTGATGGACAGGGCTCTTGTAGCCAGATTTTCTTACTAGCCATTTGCCTTTACATGGGGTCTCTGTTTTGTTATATTAGCTGCTTCTCTGATTTGTAGAGCACTGTAGTGCAGAGAATTCCATAAATATCTGAGCTCAAGAGTCTATTTGTCACAAGTGATGCTTGTGCAGTTCTGAAAATGAAATCTGTTTTTACCAGGAACTTAATTACCAGTTTGTCTAAATTGTTGCAATTGACATTTTCTCATAAGCTGATATTTTTCAGAGCCACTCAAAGAACAACCATGTCATCCATCAGGTGGTACTATTATTAGTTATTGATATTACTGTAATGCCTAGGAGCCCTAGTCATGGACCAGGATCCCATTTTGCTAGGCATTAAATGGCATTCATTGAGGAAAATAATTGGCTAATATAAATGTACAGTTTTCTCTTCAGATGTTTACTGCAGTGTGTGGGTTGAAACTGTCCTGATAAATTAAAGAACCAGAGTGAAACTGACTAGTACTGAAGGTTCTATGCATTCAAATAGATTTTAATTGGTACTGTAGGTCCCCTTTACTAGAAGGGCCGCTGAACTTTCTTGGGAGTGTTCCAGTTGGGAAGATCCAGCGTGCTGCAATCTAGCCTTAGCAACTACAACTCCCCCAGGGAACGGGGAGGGCCCCATTTTTGGGAAGAGAAGCCAGATTGTTGGTGTGGAGCTGCTGCTGGGAAGCCAGAAGCTGCTGTGGAGAGCCTGCTGGGGCTTTGATCAACCAGGGAGCATCAGAGGTGGTTGGTGGCTTCACTGGAGCCAGGGCAGAGACTATTGCTGTGCCTAGAGCTGACTGAGGTGGGCCTGCAGTGAAGGAACTGTGAGTAACCCCCACTCTTGTTTGGGAAAGTACTTGCAAGGGAAGGAGCACAACAGAGACACTGAGTCTGAGGAGAGGCAGAGTGATTTTTCCCATCAAACCAGGACTCAGAGCTGCTGACATTTGGTGGGGCCAACTCCAATCATCAGAGGGGGTGTGCAGCTTGTTGCCTTGGCTGGACTGATACACAGAACCAACAGAGTGCTGTCTCCAGCTGCCGCTCTCCCAGTGCGGCTATGCAATTATCTAGGACTCTGAAATCCAGAGGAGTGTACGCTCTGGGGTGGGGTAAATGGTGGCAGTGTAAATACTAGTTAGATAAGTTTAATTCATTACTGTATATTATAATTGGTAATTGATTTTATTCATCTGCCCCCCTGTGGATTTAAATTAGTAGTGATATTTAATCTTAGTCAGTGTGACAAAGTTCCTCCTCTCTCTTGGTGGGTCCTGCACTTATTGGCAGATTTTCTTGCCTCAGAGATTCACCATGTGGGTTGGGGAACAGCCCAGAGACCTTCCCCTCTGGAAGAACCCACAGTCCAGGTCAATTGGGAGGTTTGGGGGGAACCCGGGCCCACCCTCTACTCCAGGTTCTAGCCCAGGGCCCTGTGGACTGCAGCTGTCTATAGTGCCTTCTGTAACAGCTGCATGACAGCTACAACTCCCTGGGCTACTTCCCCATGGCCTCCTCCAAACACCTTCCTTATTCTCACCACAGGACCTTCCTCCTGGTGTCTGATAACGCTTGTGCTCCTCAGTCCTCCAGCAGCACACACTCCCACCACAAACTGAAGTGAGCTCCTTTTAAAACCCAGGTGCCCTGATTAGCCTGCCTTAATTGATTCTAGCAGCTTCTTAATTGGCTCCAGGTGTCCTAATTAGCCTGCCTGCCTTAATTGGTTCTAGCAGGTTCCTGATTACTCTAGTGCATCCCCTGCTCTGGTCACTCAGGGAACAGAAAACTACTCATCCAGTGACCAGTATATTTGCCCTCTACCAGACTCCTGTACCCCACTGGTCTGGGTCTGTCACATCGGTTATAACCTGTTTCTTTAAGTTGTTAAGTAAAGGTGTGTTAAATCTAATTTAAGTATATTGGATGTATATTATTTATAATTGGTATTTTTGAGTTAGACCCATGCCACAGATTATTATTACTATTTGAAGGGGTTTATTCTGGGAGGTTCCCAAGGTACACCATTGAGTGTGTGCAGGGGCCAGCCAGGTGGAGGCACTGCTAATTTTAAATTCCTTTAGGAGTAAAGGGATTGCAGTAGAAGGGTGGATAAAGGATTCCCACCTATCCAACATCACCACTGGGATTCTCAGGATCTCCTTTAATGTCAACAACATCAGGTACCCAGGCACACAGGTCAGTGTTGCCTGTGCCTGAGAAAGCCAGGGAGGAAAGGGGGGTTTACA